AAATTATATTTGAAAGGCGAATTCAGAGGAATCATGGAGATTGTAATACTCGCACTTGAAATAATAAATCAATTGTTGATATAATTTTCCATTCTTGATTATTGTTTTGTCGATGCGAATTTTATTGTTACACGTATATTTACACTAAGTTAATACATATGTTATGTATTGAAACATATTGTTTATTTTACTTCATTAAATCACACAATAATAAAAACTACATTGCTTGATGTAAATATCCGTTGCGAATAATTTTTTTCTATTAATGCTATTTTTTTAAAAAACGCATACATAAGCACCTATGGTTTCGGAACTCGCACCTTGAAATTGTATTTGAAACCAAAGTTGAAGTGACAATACTTGGATGTTGTTATACATTCATTTGTTGAACTGCATCATTGTTCTTTATAAGCTTATGAGAAAGTACATTAAAAAGTTTCTGACCGCGACAACACAACTTATTTTAGCATACAAACGATTAAATATTTTCTTATAATTTTTTTTAAAAAATTCAACCCTAACATATAATATCAGTTTTACAATGACAAGTGAATTCCACATGCACCATGTCATTGACATGTCATCGCCATATTAAAAATTATTAAGTGTAAAAAATACACTTAAACTATCTTTTTTTTTAACTTTCATACCTAAATTATTGATTATGTGAATTTTTATACCTACACCGTCACTTATTAATTTGAGAAACACACATCTCTCTTTTATAACACTCTCCTCTTGATACGTGTAATACACACTCTCTTTAGTTAAAAAAATTGTCACATCATATTCCATAAGAACAAAATATTTCACCTTGAAAAAAATTAAATAAATTATAAGTATTAGTTAAACTTTAAGATTAAAAAATTATTATCCCTTTTTTTAATAAAATAAAATGTAAAATATTTTTCTTACTCCCCCTCCATCACTTCCTCTCACCGTACCTCCCTCCTCCCCCTCCCAAATACTAATTTAAATATTTCTTTTTTTAAAAAAAAAAAAAATAATTCTACATACTCTGCCTAGTCTTTCCCTTCCAATTTTTTTCTCGTTTTAGGTATATACTTATCAAAACTATTTTTCATCTGCCGCCGCAAGACTTTTTAAAATAATTTATTCATTTATATTATATTTGGTACATGAATAGAAAAAATCTTGTATATATACATAACACAAAATGAGAAAAATACAATTTTTTTAAAAAAATAAATTAGAAGCTGAAGGTTAAATAAGATAAGGTAATGTTTTTATTTTTGTAAAAAATAATAATAAACAATTTTTTTGGTTGAGATTTTTTATTTGGGAGGGGAGGGGGGGGGGGAGGGAAGGGGAGAGGGTGAATATATATTTAAAAAAAATATTTTATAAAAGAAATTTAAGAAAAAAGGGCGGGCATTGTCGGGGGGGGGGAGGGTACAGTAAGAAGGTGGTAGAGTGGAGTAAGAATAATTTAAATTTTATTTTTTTAAAAAAATTATTTTTTTAGGATAGAATACTTTAATTTTTAATTAATTATTATTTAATTTTTGTTAAGGTGGAATATTTTGTCCATCTTTAATGTCATGTGTCAACTTTTTCAAATAAAAGATAGAGTGCATTACACACACCATTGACGTGTGTTTCTCAAACTAAGAAGTGACACACATCAGTGGTAGTTTATGTATGAAACAAACACTTTCCATAGTTTTAGATATGAAATTTTAAAAAAGAATACTTTAGATGTGTTTTTGATAGTTATTTGAACTTTAATTTTTTTTTTTTGTACAATTTTAGAAAGATGAAACAAAATAGAAGAAAATTAAAGAGGATTGATCCAAGATTATAAAAATAAATAAAAAATCTCAAAATATCATAGGCTAGAAACCATTCAATTTTAAGGCATATTATCAACATAAATAAATAATAACAATTGAAAAACTAATTTAAGCCGAAGAAATTATTATCTTTTTAAATAAAAAATGCTTCAAATTCATCACAATCAATAAACACTTCCATAAGTAGATCTTAAGCAACAAGAAGTTGTTGACTTTTTCATTTTCATCAATTCTAAGAATAATTTGAAATCAAAGAATGGGATAAAGCAAGTGTTAGTCGGCAGCGAGACTTGAAAAAGGAGAAAGAGGGGGTGTGGGTGGGGGGTCCGAAGGACGAGAAATATAGTAGGGGTGGAGGATTGGATTTCAAAGAACAAGAAATATAGTGGGGGTGGAGGATTTCGAAGAATGAGAAAGAAGGTGGAGAATTTGTCAAAGAAGGGAGTGGTGCAGGTAGTGGCTGAGAGCGAGGGTGATGGGTGTGAGGAAGAAGAAAGGCTAGTGGTGGGGTGGGTCGTGAAGAAGAACAAACCTTATTAACTAACAGAAGAAAAAGGCCCAATTGTTTTTTTCTCTTTAATTTTTTTAGTTTTTACTCGCAGATAAGCAAACATATACTATTTAATTAGTTAAAATAATAACAATTTAAATTAATTACGGTTCACAACTTACTTTAAACAGTAATTACATTGCTTATACAAATACAAATTATACATATGCATATAATTACATAACAAATATACAAAGCTCCCTCCACTCTCAGTCCTCTCTCGTTTATCTCTCCCCTTCACACAATTCGCGCTCTCCTCTCTCCTCCAATTCCCAATTTCGCTATCCATATATACATATACATATGTATGCTAGTTACACATGTACAATTATCTGATAGGTATACATATGTAGTTCGCCTTTCTCCACCCTATCTCAATCTTGTTCATCATACATACAAATACATATGAATATCAGTTACATATATATACAATTATCCGACAGATTTACATATGAAATTTGTCTCTTTTCACTTTCTGTCCTCTCTCGCTCAGAGGCAGGTGTTAGTCAATGCCGAGATTCGAAAAAGGAGAAAGAAGAGGTGCGGATGAGGGGTTCGAAGAACGATAAATATAGTGGGGTGGAGGATTTTGAAGAACGAAAAAGAAGGTGGAGAATTCGTCGAAGAGGGGAGTGGTGCATGTGGTGACTAAGAGCGGCGACGAGGGTGATGAATGTGAGGAAGAAGAGGGGGTGGGGGGGGGCTATTGGTAAAGGTGGTGGGGTGGGTCGTAAAGAAGAACAAACCTTATTGGGCAAAAGAAAAAAAAGGCCCGATTGTTTCTTTCTTTTTAATTTTTTACATTTTACTCGCTTTTCTTTAGGGAAAATCACGCAGATTAACAAACATATACTAGTTGATTAACTAATATATCTATAGTTTGAATTAATTACGGCTCATAATTTACTTTTAACTGTAATTACATCACTTATACGTCTAGAAATACAAATTATACATGTGTATATATATAATTATATAACATATATACAAATACAAAATACAATTATCTGATATATATACATATACAGTTTCGCCTCTCTGCACCCTATCGAATCTCGTTCATCATATATATACACACACACAATTATTTTACAGATATGCATATAAAATTTACTTATCTTGACTCTCTGTCCTCTCTCGCTCACCTGTCTCCTCCCTCTCCCAATATCGCTGCCTCTCTTCTCTCTCTAACATGTAACTACTAATCGTAATTAACAAATTTTAACTATGAAATATATTTAGACTCTTTTGAGTAATTATATATGAAAATCCCTATATAAATACATATTTTGTATATACATGAAACTATAGTTTTAAAACGCAATAATCAAAATTATACATGTAGAATAAACAATATCTCCGATTAAAGATAAATAAGTATTTATTACTGGATCATAGTTAGATGAACATCTTAAGGGATCATCTCCCAATGCTAGATCAACCAATAGAGATCATCCATGTGATATAACAGTCAGCCAACTACACTTGTTTGTGTAAATGCCAAGAAATAGTTTACTCCTAAATCTTTTGTTTTACTCATTGCATTCCCATTTGCTAATAATGCCGGCGCCTGTCCTTTTGTCTCCCATACCCCCCCCCCCCTCCCACGTTATCCCAAAATTCTAGCATATCCACTTATTTCCATTTTTGGTATCTTCATATCTTATTTTAATCTCAATTATTCATCCCCATAAGATAAGAAAATGTGTCCACTTGACTACAAGACATTTTCAGATTTATTCAACTTTGGGTATTGAGCTATAACCACCTTTTCATTTTTAGTATTTTTATTACATTTTTTTTATTATAATAATATTTTATTTATATTATATTATAATCTTTAAATTAATCATTTTTTAATTTGTAATCAAATTTTTATCAAATTTGCTAGTCATTTAGAATTACCTTATTTATTATTTCTACTACTTCCATACTTTCATTTATGTGATACTTAATTAGATGAATTTTGTTACTAATCTAAATTTCAAACATAGCATATCTAAATTTTTGATTAAAAAGAAAATATAAAGACATAGCTTTATTCAACAAAGAATTCTACTTTAATTTTTAAAAAAATGGCACGGAATCACATAAAATAAATGTTAAAAATAAAAAGGAAATGAAATTAAAATAATAAAAAAATATTTTTGAAAATACTACTTCCTCTCTTCATAAACGTTTGATAGGTATACTAAAAATAGACGTTCAAAATTAATTGTCAGTTTAAATAATTAAAAAATAAGTAGTTAGTCTTTTTCAATTCTGCCCTTAATAATTGTTCCATTTTGTTCGATTGAAAAGTTATGTAAACTTTTGATATTCTTACTCTAGTAGGATTGTATTAATCAAATTACATTTTGTATTAAATTTTTTAAAGAAGTGCATGACCTTACCTGATAAACAATTATGAACAACGATAGAATAAATATATATATATAAATAAAAAAATAAATTGTAATTATACAATGTTATTATGAATTGAAGAGGATAACTAACACATGTCAATTGCATCAATTACTTACTAACAAGGTAATTACATGTCAACTAAATAAAATTGATAATATTATTACACCAAATTCAATTACGAGAGTGAACTTTCAAACATGCCTTTAATAACATGGTGGCAATTTTTAAATTCCCAAAGTATAAGTGCATCTTTGGAGTTGAGAAGATGATATAGTATTTACTCTTTGTACTTTGATTGCACTTTGGGTTTTGAACCATTTTTAGACCCACCACCCACAACTTTCTTTCTTCTCTTTCTCTTCACTTCTCCTCCTATTATTTTCCATAAGGGTGGTGGTCTAACTATTTTTATCTGCAAAAATGGAAGGTTGTTGCAATGAAAGACTTGATTTTGGAAAAATGGGTTATGGGTACTATCTCTATAATTTTTTATATATTCATGTTCAATACTAATATCTAAATATCTCCCTTTTTCATGTTTATTTATTGCAGGTCAGATGATCTTATATAATTTTTTTTTGAGGCGATCTGATTGTGTTTTAACTCTTTTAGATGCTGAACTCATGTAGTTGAAACTTATTAAGTTTTGAATTTTTGTCTATCTTCAAATAGATTTCTTTGAGTTCGATTTGTCATAATTTATGTGATATTTTTCGTATTTTGAGAGTGAAACAATTTTAGTTTTGATGGGGAAATCGCATATGAAATCTATAAGTCACAATAATTGATAATTTAAAATATATATGAAACGTAGATTTGTTTGAATTTTGAATTTTGAAATGTGCCACATGAATTGGTAGTGAAGTTAATTTCTTCGAATATAATTTGAGATAATAACACTATGAAATTTCTTCAATTATGCCTTTTTTCTTACAGTCTTCCTGATTTTTGATGTTTTGATAGATGCAAGCACTATAGGAGAAGATGCAAGATTAGAGCCCCTTGCTGCAATGAGGTCTATGACTGCAGACATTGTCACAATGAAGCCACGGTAACTTACTTGCTTTCGATTTATTTTATGTTACGTCCTATATTTATGTGGCACAATTCGCATTTTGAGTTGACATAGAATCTTTTGAAATAATATTTACATATTTGGAAACTAACATCAAAATATTATGGTTGATGAAAAAATCCACAAGTTGTCATATATATTGGGAGGGAGAGAGTATCTGTCTAATGGATGTTAATCTGTGTGTGTGTTTCAACAGAGCATGTTGCGTAAGATTTTTGATAGGCATGAACTAGTTCGACAAGATGTTACACAGGTTATGTTTCTACTATTTCCATTTTTGATTCATCTGTTACATTTAATTGTTGAAAGTTTCTTATCATGAGATATGTGTTCTTTGGGTATTTCAGGTCATCTGCTCAGTTTGTGATACCGAACAGCCAGTATGTGTTGTCGTTTGACTTGAATTCATGCTTTCTTTCTCTCTTTGGTACTACTTGAGTTGATGCTACAATGTCTTTTTTCTATTTCAATTCAAGGTTGCTCGCGTTTGTACGAACTGTGGTGTCAATATGGGAGAATACTTTTGTGAAGTGTGCAAATTCTATGACGATGATGTAATATACTGTGCCTTTTAATAATATGTGATTAACTTGTTTAAGTCTGAAACGCGGATGGCATAACTATTTTTGGGGCTTAGACTCTTTTAGCCATTACATTCCCGAAATGCTTATTCTGGACTCGCCCGTTACAGATAGACAAAGGGCAGTTTCATTGTGATGATTGTGGAATCTGCAGGTTAGTGTACAAACATATCGCTGGGGATTTGTTGATTTATGTGGTGAATATCTTCTATTTTCGAAGTTCCCTAACATGTTTTCTTTGCACAGAGTTGGTGGTCGGGAGAACTTCTTTCATTGCAACAAGTGTGGTGCGCATCACAACATCCTATCATTATTATTCAAAGCTTTGTGGAAAATTCTGTGTTATTTCTCTTATGTGTTTCTTGAATATATTCTTCATTAATATGTTGATTAAATAATGAGATATTCTTGCAACTATATTATGTAACTCCAATTAGTTTAGTCTTGTTTGCTATTTTTCCTAATAATTACTCTCTATCAACCGGTGTTTGGGGGGGGGGGGAAGAAAGTATTACAAGTAAATAAAACTCAATGATTACGATCTGAATAATCAGGTTCCTTTTCTTATAACATAGTCTTAAAGGACTGACTAGGAAGGATATGTCGCACATCGTAGTGCAGCTGCATTTTCTTTGTTCAACTTCCTCTTCTAATACTCGCGTCCTGCTTCTTGATCTAGGAGCATCCAGACCTATCTTTTATTAGTAAGAAGGATGTAGGTTTGATTCTTTACCTTGGAAGTGTACATGGTAAAATTACCAGGGTAAATGTTTTAAGATTTTATTTTGCAGTTTAGATGAATAAATGTTGTTTGTTAAGTAATGACACCCTCGATTTTACTTGTAATACGAACTACATGTTAAGATTCTCTTTGCTGTTTTTCTCCCTTAAGTAGTGGAATGTAGGAGTGTCTTCCTCAGTGTTTCCCGTAGTTCTGGTCGTGCAACTATGTTCTGATGCTAGTTGGCTTATTGAACATACTTGTTCTGATGACCAAACTTTTTCTTTCTTATATAATTGGTTGTACAATGCAAATAGAGAATCTACAGTAAGAAGGCTGAGCAAAGCCTTCCGATTTTGATTTACATTGCTCTCTCAAGAAATTTGCCAATTGTATGATGAAAATATCACTTTCTTCTTTCTAATTTAGTGTTGGACAAAGTGGACATTCACATAATGTTGTGGATTCTCTTGTTGTTTTGTTGCTACATTTGTTCTTCACCTACTTCTGGCTTTCATTCTGCAGACTCTTGTTATTCAGTTAGTCTGCGTAATAATCACTCGTGCGTGGAGGACTCCATGAGGCATCATTGCCCGATTTGTTACGAAGTACGTTACATACCCCTGCGGATCCCTCCTTTTAATGTTCTTGTCATTTATAATGCTCTAATTTCTTAAGTGCAGTTTCTCTTTGATTCTCTGAAAGACACAACTGTAATGAAATGTGGGCACACAATGCATACAGAATGCTACCACGAGATGATAAAGCGTGACAAGTAATCACATAGTATTTATCTATATTTGTTGCTTTCGGATTTCATTTGGACTGAAGAGTTTTATGTTTACTGACTTCCGTTGTATTTTCAACTCAGATACTGCTGTCCAATATGTTCTAGATCAACTTTAGACATGACCAAAGCTTGGAAAAGAATGGATGAGGAGGTAGGTTTAGATATTAATTATCACAGATTTATCTTATCACAAGTTTTCTGTTTTATGCATATTCTAAAACTACTTCTGTTCTTAAGGAATTGGATCTAAGAATTATAGTGCTATCACTATGATCCAAGTCCAATTTCGTGAATCTTGTTCAGTCCGAAAGGTTTGAATTGTCTAATTGCTTGAGGATGCATGATCTTTTCATCAAAAATTGTGTGTGCATGCATAATCACTTGGGAACTGGTTCAGCATTGTGCATAAATTTTTGGAGGGCTGTGTATAAGACCTTTTTTCTCCTACCTTTTCAGTTAAATAAGTTTGTCTTGGAACAACATAGTTCTATCATCCACAAAAATCTAGTTTTATATGGTAAAGAGAGTGCCAGTTCACCTTCTTTTTCGAAGGCAAAATAAGAAAAGAAAAGAGAAACCTGACATCCAGTTCTTGCATTTAAACAAGTTGCTTGAGTTTTGTCTGCAATGATGATATGCTAAATAGAGGATGCATTTTGAACCATGTGGTATGGTCCAGCATGTCTGGCGATCAGCATAATTCCCATAAGTACGTTAAGCTCTTGTACTTTGTAAAATAATTGTGGTCGATAGTACTGAAAAACCACACAATATTTCATTCTCTTTTCCTCTGTCCCAAGCTTGATAAGATATACGTTAAGTGTACATCTGGATTTGCAAATCTGTGGGCAGTGTTAAGGTTTTGGTGATGATTGTTCCTGTACTTCTTAAGTTGGTCATGCTGAATGATTAATTCTTTGGCAATTTCAGACAGTTTGTGTTTTAGTTGTGTTCGGGGTGGCCGTGGGGGTTAAGTTTTCTCTATTCTTATTTTCATGAGTTCTGTTTACCTAGCTTTATTGAAGTCCTATACTAAAAGTGAAAATTTCCGTTGTTCAGATCGAAGAGACAATCATGCCTGAAGATCTTAGATATAAGAAGGTACTTCCTTGTCCTTTGACCCTATATTTGTGATGTGTTAGTTACTTTGGCTGTTAATTACAGAGGGCAACCAAGGGCGTTAACTCACCTAACTTGTTACTCGCAGGTCTGGATTCTTTGTAATGACTGTAATGACACAACTGAAGTATATTTCCACATAATCGGGCAGAAGTGCAGACACTGTCAATCATACAACACCCGTATGATTGCACCTCCTGTTCTTCCTCAATAGCAACTTCCTACTCCATAAAAAGTGATTGTTTGCGCTGCTGAAACTTGGTGCAGCGGACGTGAAACAGAAGAAGTTTACGGTGTTACCTTCATTATTATTACTATTATTAATTCTTTGGTGTCATGTCTGCATATTATTCATAGCCATTGCAAATTACAACACAACTTTACTTTTTTTGCAATGTGGACATTATTTTTCTCTCTCCAAGGATGTGAAGAGTAAAACTCAACTGTGTTGATTTAGTCACTCATTCAGGACTATGTACACATATTATCAAGGGGACACTTTTGAGATTCAAAAATGAGAGAGAAACAAATTTGCATTCTTTCTTTAATGAGATATATCCTTAATCTCTCTATAGAGGTAATTTGGAATGTTATATCTGTATTTAATTATGTGATCCTATTGTGCTTTTGTTTTAGGTAACTTGCTATTTCTCCTCACAATAAAGTTCTTGCCTTTTACTTCTTGGTAAATAATAGCTAGACACTTTTCTAATTCCTTTTAGGTAAGTAACAACTTCATTGCTTCTTTTATCTTATAAAAGATCTAAAAATAGAAGTATTTTTGACAAGAAAAAACTTGAGGGAGTTTTTCCATCATGGAGAAAATACAAGACACTAATCCTACAACTTTGAAGGTTCTAATGGTTCCATGGTTAGCTCATGGCCATGTAACCCCTTACTTAGAACTAGCCAAGAAACTCTCCAAAACCAATCTTTTCTTCATATACTTTTGTTCAACACCTATCATTCTCAATTCCATCAATCAAGAAAATCTACCAAAAAACATCCAACTAATAGAATTCCCTTTACCATCATCACCACTACTTCCTAGCCACCAGCACACCACCAATGGCCTACCGAAAAACCTCCTTTCAACGTTGATCCAAACTTTTGGAGAAGCTGGTTCTACCTTTGCCAAGATTCTTGATTCTCTCTGTCCTGATTTGCTTATTTTTGATGGGTATCAACCATGGGCACCAGAGCTTGCTTCTTCAAGAAAAATTCCCGCTATTGATTTCCTTATCATTGGTTCTGCTTCAGTATCTTTCTTCTATCACCATTATCTGTATGCTGGCAAAAGAGACTTTCCATTCTCAGGAATTTTCCTTAAGGATTATGAGGCAAAGCAACTCCAACTCACCGCGGAAATGAACATTTCCATAGGACCTGATGTTGCTTTCAATGGGCTGGAAAAATCCCATGACATCATTTTGATCAACACTTGTAATGAAATAGAGGGTAAGTATGTTGATTATCTCTCGACTCTAAGCAATAAAAAGGTCATACCGGTAGGTCCACTTATTCGTGAAATGGGAACAACGACAGAGAATGAGGAGAACTCCAAGATTATCCAATGGCTAGACAAGAAGGATGAATCCTACTTGTGTTTATGTTTCATTTGGAAGTGAATATTTCTTGTCCAAAGAGGAAATCGAAGAAATAGGTCATAGTTTAGAGCTAAGTGAATTGAATTTCATTTGGGTAGTTAGGTTTCCATTAGGTGAAGAAACTAACATTGAAAATGCTTTACCAAAAGGCTTTCTTGATAGAGTTGAAGGAAAAGGTGTCATTGTGGAAAAATGGGCACCTCAAGCAAGAATTCTTGAGCATCCAAGTGTTGGGGGATTCTTATGCCATTGTGGATGGAATTCTATACTAGAAAGTTTACATTTTGGAGTTCCTCTTATAACCATGCCTATGCATTTTGATCAACACACTCATTCAAGAATGGCGGTCGAGTTGGGGACAGCTATGGAGGTTGTGAGAGATGATAAAAATGGGAAACTGAATAAAGAAAAGACAGCAGAAGTGATAAGAAATGTGGTGACGGAGAAGAACGGTGGTGAAAATGTGAAGGCAAAGGTGAAAGAATTGAGTAAAAAGATAAGAGAGAAAGGAGAAGAAGAGTTTGATCAAGTTGTTAACAAGTTGTTGGACCTTTCTACCAAGAATAAACAAACAGTGAACACTTAGTATGACATAAAAGAAGAGCACAAAAATGGAGTTCTTTTCTTTTCTTTTCTTTTTATGCATAAAATAATTGAAACATACTTTTCTTCTTTTCCTGGAAAAAATCTCTGTGGTGTTTCTCTACTTCCGATTAGATGGAAATGATAAAAATGTTTCTGTTGACATTGAAGATTGCACTCGATTTCTTCATGATATATTCCATTATCCTCCTTTAAAGAAGTAGGTAGCTTTTAGTTAGGTGCCTCACAGATTCTTGTCTATCCAGTTCTAGTTCAACTGTTCCAGATTGAATAGAAGAGCTACAATGAAATAGATAGTGAAAGACTAGAACATTGTTTTAAAAAAGTTTTCATTGTTGGAAATGAAGGGACTTATCACCCGAGCAACTTTCACTCGTCTAATGAATCGTACACTAAGTACAAAAAAGAAGTAGAAGTGAAGAACCAGAAGAGTAATGCTTCAACAACTTCTATAGAACTTAAAGATCAAAGTTAATGAAGTCCATAAACAAAATTCACTCAGTGACACCTCTTATTGACTGTCTGCTAGAAGATATATATTAGCATATCCATAGGGAAAACAACATACAATAAGTATGCCTGTCTAACCATACAAGTAATGTTTACGTACCTCCACATCGAGGTTTTAGAAATGGCTAGCTCTGCCTTCTCCGACATTCTTGAGTTTCATAAACCATTCAAGATGATGTATGATATCAATTTTGCATGGACTGTGGAAATGGCAATGTCCCGTAACATTGCTTCAGTTCATTTCCAAATTATGGGGGCTATAGCTAATGCATTCTTCCTTTGTATGTTCAAGCTTCTAGGGGTTCAATTCCATTTTGCATCCATTATTCTTAAGGACTATGAGATATGCAAGCTTGATCGTATTGAGTCCTTGTTAAACAAAAGGATTATCTCTTTGATTGCAGAGAGCAATCTACTGAGATCATATAACTGGAAAGAAGGTACTACTGTTGGTCTGCTTGTTAAACGAGAACTGTGGTTGTGGGGAGGGTAGAATATACTCAGACCTTACCTCTACCTCGTGGGTAGAGACTGTTTCCGACTTCCGAGAGACCCTTAGCAGCAAATCCAGGTACAATGAAGAAGGATACATGTAACAAAGTCTACCAGAAGGGAGCAAAAACAACAACAAAATAGTGCCATAATCGAAACACAATAAACAACCTACTTACATCCTCGCAGGAATAAAACAAAGGTACTCGCAAAGACATTCGAAGTTTTGAGGTTTTATAAAATTCTCAGCTCTCAGGTAATCATTGATCTACTCGAAATGAAACGGCACATCGAGTTCATGATATGCAGAGAAATGAGGAAAATACCATCAATTGAACATCTGTGTTTTGATTTCACTTTTTTCGAATTCAATCTAATACATCTGTTAGAACTATCCGTATGCATTTTCTATAAATAATGATTCATGCATAATCAGCAACAACACAAAAAAGATCTCGAAAAACTTGATGATATCCATCAACCAATGCATATAAATCACAAAAACAATTCTAAAAAAGAAGCAATTCTCTCCGAATACTCTCTACTGTATTACTTTCATTATTTCCTATGGTTACTGTGATTGTCAATGTCGTTAGCTGATGGTCACTTACAGAGATATTAGCAGCCAAAACCTCAGCCTGATGCTTGTCAAGAACCGAGAAGATGTTAGTCATCAGTCCTTGTGTGAGCTGAAATTGGATCCCGAAAAATGCTAATCCTTTCGATACAGTAGCATTAACAGAAGAAACCCTGTTTCTCCATTGAGATAAAGCAGGTTTATACACCACTACTGACTTCTTCAGATTCTTCAACCTCAATACTTCTTCCTCAAGACGTTTGATGTAATCTATAGATTCCGCCACAATCTTCTCCCTCGTCGCCTGAAATTTTCAAAAAAAACAGAGAAATTTTCAAATCAATTTACATTGCAATTCCAAATCAGTTGGGTACTTCTATGTGAATCCTCTACGAAATTGAGTTCGAATCTGAAGCAAATTACGATGACCTTATGGATGTGGGAGATTGTTGGGACTAAGGATTGAAGCAGAGAGTACAACTCAGCCATTTTCCCTCTTCTGTTACGTTCCTTATGCATATTATCATCAGCAAGAGGAGCTTCTTTTTTGTGCCTCTTATTCCCATAGGATGAGCTTGAACCCATCTCATTAATGGTGGAAAAATCCGTCAATGGCGGCATGAAAGCATCTTTATATCCTCCCATAACACCCATAAATAATCTCTCAATCTCTTCCTCTTCTGCTTCTTCCTTCATCATCATCTCTTGCCACATTTTTACACTCTTTTTCATCACTCAACCCACTACCATTACTGTATCAATGGAGTATGTGTGTATATATATATATACATATATACCTCCCCACCCCTACCCCTACCCCACCCCCACCTCCCACCCCTACCCCCTACCCCCTACCCCCAACAAGTTGGTTACATGATATTTGCAGTTTTGCACCAACGAATGATCATATTTTGATTCTGTTGCAGTTAGAAATTTTCTTGTGTGTATATTTGTTGCATGGTGATTGATCACTTGGTTGAATCTCAGCTGCTCATTATTTAATCAACGGTCATGATTGTCCTAAGGATTTACAAGATTTGCTGGTATGTTTACAGGGTAAAATTTCTGCTCAAACAAACATGCAAGTGGGGGTAATTAGGGGTGGGTGGGTACTTGGGCTGTAAGAAAACTGAAACTTTATACTCTCTCCACCCCAGCCAATAAGAATGGAGAAAGGGTTATTGATGTATTATTTTTCTTGAAATAAAATTAAATTTAATGTACTTTAAAATTATTAGAACAAAATATGATTAATGTTAATGATGAAGGCCACACAATTTTTCTAATTTTTTTTATATATATTTTGTATAGATTAGAGAACCTTTTTTTTTTATTGTGGTTATAGCTTTGAAAAATAATAATAGACGATTAAGATTTTGTCCTCTCGATTAAAATTGGAATTAGGGGTGGCTGTGGTCAAGGGAATTCCTAGACTGAGAGTTGAGTCCTGGAACATAGGGTTATCAATGGTAAAATTTATAGAATTAATAAAAAAAAATTTATAAAGAGAAAGATCAATATAGCTTGTGTCAAAGAAATCAAATAAATTGTGAAGTAAGACTCATAAGGTAAACGGAGGTAAATTGTGGTATTTAGGAGTGTCGAAAAATAAAAATAGAGTAAACATTTCAGTAAAATTATTTTACTAAAATAGGGAATTTCGGAAGCTTACAAGGGCGTGTTATCGTTCATTCTTAAATTCAATTATATAAAAACATATTTATTAAAAAAATAATTATTGACTTAGCGAGTACATACTCCTATTAATTACAAAGTGACTGAATTAATAAAAACTTAATATTTTTCAATAAATTATACTTTTTTTTCAAAGTAATTAATTGAAGGTGTAATAGGTAAATAATTTTTATCCTTCTTTGATTTGTCAAAATAAATATTTAATTAGAGACAAGTATAGCAAAAAAAAGTAAACAAGTAATTAAGAAAATAGAGATTATTAATAACTTAACTATTTTTGAAAATTATAGAGTCGCCACATGATAATGTTACTGCCTCGAGATTTTTTATTAATGACTTTTGATGGTTTTTCTCTTTTTTCCTTTTTTTTTTCCTGTTCGTCTGAATAGGGGTTGGGCTAAGGCTGGTTCTCATGCTCGGGCTTTGGCCCAAGATTTATATATTTGAAATAAAAGTGGATGGTTAATGGCTCAAAATTTATACGTTTTTAATCGAGTTGTATATAGTAAATTTTTTATTTATTACTTTTATTAAATATATACTTTTTTCTGTTAATTAATCGAGTTAGCTCACTCCTAACTTTGCATATCTAGGTTAACCTTGTTAGAGATTATTTGAGATGATGGGAATGAAGATGAGGTGTGTTGGAAGGTGGAGAGGACATAATCATCGTGAAAATGTCTCACTAGTACAACTTGTTAACCAATCGAACATAATTTTTTTAAAAATATTTTCTTTCCTACCGAACACATAGTTAAAGTCAACTTCAATCTCTTAAGCATGCAATTTCTTTTTTTTAAAAAAAAACCTAGGGCAATAAATTTGTCTTTTGCAATGCGGACACCATATAATATGACTTGTAATTCAAATTAACATTAAGATTATTATATTGTATTGTTGTATCCTTATAATAAAAGGATTAATATATGACGATATATATAATTAAAATCACACTTCCAATTTTAAGAATATACATGATTAAACAAATTTAATAAATACATTATATTTACTGAAAGCATAAATGCAACACATATAGGTCTACAAAGGATGATTTACCAATCACGTACGTGTAAATTAAATTAAAGAAAACACCATAGCCTAGTTATTATCTAATACAATACAATAAAATAACCTTAAGTATATAGAAAAACTATAGTGTTCAAGTCAACTTGTTAATGACGTATGTTCTTATGGAGGTTCACCGTAGCCAACAACACCAACAACAAAAACAATATAGAACCAACTAGTGAAATGGCAATTGCCGCCACGACTTGTCCACAAAATTTACCAAACACGTCACACACCTTGTTCCACCGGACGTGGGTGTTCCCTTTGTATCCGATGAGGCCGACAGCCGCGGCCGCTCCGACACTGGAGTAGAGAAGAGCCATCATGATGAGATCGAATAGAATGATTGTTAGAGAAAGACCTTTCGTTTTTCCTTTATTTGCCAACGAAAGGACTAAGGAGATAACTGCATATGCACATGCAATTGCATTCACAATAACAAAGTACCTGAAATTTATTTAAAAATTCGTAAACAATTAGTTTCAATCACATAGTAATATTTAATAATATTTTACTTTTATCTAAGTAGCTAGGCTCAATTGTGGAAGCATCAATATTTGACCCAAATCAAAACTAGTTTTGAGTCAACAAATGGTACAAGAAATATTTAATAATACAAAAAATTTACCAACCATATAATAAAATTATATAAACCCAACTAACATTTCATTCTCATCGATAATATTAATATTAGTCAGTATCTTCCTTTAACATTTGTAATTAAATATGGAGTAGAAAAAGTCTAATTTAGGTAGCAAGATATTTGTTGACATCACATATTTTTGCCTGTCCACGATCTAACTGCCAATTCATTTACTTCTTGCCAAAACAATGCGTACTCTTTTTGTTTATCTTATGTGACGAATCTTTATAATAAAAAGATAATTTTTTAATTATTTAATTAATTAATTTATTAAATAATTTTTTTATATATCATCCTTCTTACTCCCTCTATTACATATTAGTTGGATTGTTGAAAAGAAAAATATTTAATGACGTAATTTAAATCATATTTTTCACTATTGACCTTTATAAAATTATAAATATATAGCTTTGTAAATAGTGCAATTTATAAAAATATCAACTTGATAAAAATAAAGGGAAAATATAGAAAGATCTCATCCATTCATCTTGAGTTTTGAACGATGAAAAAAAACTCAAAAACCGAGTTAACACTCTATGAAAATGAGAGAGTATTAAATAATAACATAAAAATAATAGCAGACAATTAAGAAATTTTGAAAGCAGAGTTAATAAAATTAATTTAGTAAAACAAATCCCCAATATATATTTGAGTTCGGAGCCTAAAGGGTATAAAATATTAAAAGAAATTCTAAAACGATATATAAAATTTTATATTAATCAAAACGACAAAATCGCTGGAACAACAACGATTTACTCCACCGAAATTCAAATCGCTACCTTGATAGCAATTTCAAATTTTTAAAAAAAGCAGCGATTTCCATTTTAAGACAAAAAACGCTGCCTAGGTAGAGATTTGAATAATTTCTTTTTAAAAAAAACCACATTTTGCAAAATTACTGCAGCGATTTTGCTTTTTCCGGTGGAGTAAATTGTTGTTATTCTAGTGATTTTACCGTTTTGATTAATATAAAATTTTATATACCGTTTTGAAAATTTTGTTAATATTTTATACTTTTAGGCTCCGAACTCATATATACTTCCTTAAAAATAGCGAGAGTATTGCTTCTTGCATCTTTTATTCATGAGATTTACCTAAATCATAATTACATATACAAAATTAGCATGTAGTAGCAAAAATAACTTGTCATAATTGTATTCTTTTAGATAAAAAAAATATATCATAATACCAAACGAAAGAACCTCCCTTCATCGTTCTTCTAAATATTTCAAAACCAAACAAGTTATCTTTTACCGTCACAGTTTCGATTGTTCTTTAAAATTATCAATCATCATCCCTTACAATATTTTCATATAATTTCTAAGCACATAGAATTCTATTTCAAAAAAAAAAATTAAAAATTTTATATCTGAATTCACGATCAAAATTAAATACTTACACAAAGGCGGACATATGGCTCCACTTAGCGGAAGCCGGAACATTGATAGGTGGCAATGTTGGTACCAATTGGACAGGCACAAGCTCATTTTGTTTGCTAACTCCAAGCACAATGGCAGCCACAAGTGTAACTACAAAAGCCAAAAATCTCAACACAAAATCATTCCATCTTATGGTTTGCTTATTTGCAACCCCAATTTCTTTTGCAATTGTATGACTTTCTGTCTCCATAATATTAATTAATTAAGAGAAGATGTTAAAAGAAAATGTGAATATGGGAGGTGTTGTTTTATTATTATGAATGTAAGTGATGCAGGGTTTATATAGTAGATAGAAAGTCAAGTGGGAATATAAAATAAGGTATGTAGAAATTAAAATATGTGTGAAAAAGAAGCTAGTTGTATATATGACTTTTTTGGCTTTATTATTAGGGGTATTAGATTAGTGGCTCAACGTGTGAGGTTTTGAGTTGAAGATAACAAGGTGGAATGGAATTAAAAATATATATTAACAATATAAAAACAAATGAAAAATTCACATTTCAATCTACAAATTTTGACTCATTTTATCATATAATATTAGTTGAAAATTTATACTCTACTACATAAAATACGAGTACCCTATGTTTATTTGAGTTGTATGCGCATCAAGTTAAAGGGAGTGATATTTTATTTTTAAATATATTATACATTTGAAAATTATGTTAAAAGTTTTGAAAATCATAATAACGTTCAGTTGTATATATTTGTAAAGTACTATAAATCATAATAATTACTATTCAAAATAATATATTAAAAAAAATGAAATACTAATGATGTCTCGTAAATTAAAATAGGAAGAATAATAAATATGTTTAACAATCACTTACTAAAAATTATAATAATTAACAATATAAAATATTTAAAAACCATATAAATTTTTTCATTGGCTTTTCCAAATTCCATTTTGCCAAATAAATTGGGACTACAAGAGTAACATGTATATTATTTGAAAAGTATCATAAAAAAATATCATATATAAAACTTTAAATATTTTACAATTAAATAAAAAAATTGATTGACAGTATAGAGTAAGCATATAAGTAATTGTAGTATATTTATTCATTTAAAGGAACTTAAATTGAACCTTTTTATGTCTCTAGTGTAATTAATACATACGTAGATGTTGATGGCCTACCTGTATGAATAAGTTGGAAAGAAAACTAATTAATATTTTAATGTAGGTGTCGTTCACATTTATTTTTTATTTTTTAGTATTCTAATATTATCAGATATTTTGACAACTGGAATAGTCTGTACTATCCTATTTCCTCGCGATTAATTTATTTGTTTGATTTTAATTTAATAAAATATCTAATAAAATTATTATTTTAATTTTATACTCTTAAATAAGATCTATATTAGAAGCTAATTTTTAAAATAATCAGAAAAATAAAATTAACAAATTAGAATAGATATTCTTTAGGATATTTCGAAATATTCGATTCTCTTTAAATTCTCTTCATTCATAATTAGCAGTAACGTCTTATTAATATCAGTGGTTTTGCTTGACATTTCATTTTCCGTTATTAGTGTTAGTTGAAAATAAATGTGATAAAGAAAAAACGCCAAATTTGATTACGAGTTATGGAGAATAATATTTCTCTAATTTACTCCTTTATTTTTTTAGAATAAGGATGAATGAGTGAAATTGATACGATGTATGACACGTTTGGTTATCTATGCCTATATTTTATTCCTAAAATTTAATTACTTACTAAATCAGAATAGAGTTTGATTAATTTTTTTCCATTTCCATTTTAGCCTTACCATTGCTAATAAATATGAATAAAAAAATATACATTAAACTCTTAGAATAAATCCAACAGTATAAAAAAAAGAGATAAAAGGATTAATTTCACTTATTGGTACAAACAGCTACTTACGATAACAGTGTAATGAAATTACATTTAGTCAATCAAAATATTTTACTTTATTATTAGTGATGTCACAAAAACACTAGCTTGTATATGCAGTAAAAGATAAATAGTCTTTTATTTTATTATTATCGTTGATTTTTTTGGAGTTTCTATTCGTAGTGTGGGAACCAATAAATACCACTATAATATGGGTGATAAAATGTGCAATTCTTTAGTTAACCTTTAACGGAAATATCTTTACTTGAATCAATATTAAATTCAATCTCCTAATTTTTAATTTTGGGAATTTGGTAATATTATAATTTTATTTTTTAATTTTATTAAATTTAATACTATGAAAAATGTATTAGATGATAAATAATATTTAATAGACAGGTTAAAATAAACACAAAAAATAAATTATCTCTTGATTTTCTAAATTGAATAAGTATTGTTGAACAACTATTTTTACAATTATTGTTGGACAGAGAATGTATGTGTGAACCGTTTAAAACATACAAACGATTATATATTTTTTTTAAAAAAAAACTTTTGTACAAATGACTATATGTGACATAAATTTTCAAATGATTTTTTATATGAATGTCACTTAAATGGTGAGCAACGACTAGAAAGGGACAATCAATACAAGCTGGGAAAGCTCAACATAACTACAACATCTACTTCTTTTTTATGGTAAAATGTAGTTGAAGTGCTAATTAGGGCGGATCTAGCAGAGGATGATAGAAAAATTACGTTATTTATATTAGGTGATTTTTTATTTTATTTATATTATATATAGAGAAAATTCAAATTCCCTAAATCCAAGAATATTAAAAGTTGGTTAAGTGGTTGTATGATTCAAAATCTATTTTGAGTTTTCAAATTCAAATCCGAACGTTTTATTTTTATTTTTTGAATTTGTAAGTGAAAATTCTAGATATGTGACTATTGTTAATGATCTTGTATTTCATTAACAAATGGTTGGTGTCATTAATGGCTGAGCATAGAATATCGAGAGTCGATTAGAAACTTTTGGTAATTTAGTATTCGGTAATTTAATATTTGATCGATAATATGGTATTCAAGGATACACTTTTAGAATTACGGCATTCAAGACATTAGTACTATGATATTTTGTGAATATCGTATTATTTACTTAAGAAAGGTCATATATCAACATATCTATTTTTTATTAATACAAGTTCAAAGAGAAAGTTAAAAGTAAAGATAAACAACCCAAATACATACATGTGTTTTAGTTGTATCGAATTATTTTAATTTTGTCGATCTCTTCTTACTTCGTGATCTTCTAATATATTGTGCCTCCACATAGAAAATAGATATAATTGGAGCAATAGTGTTGACTTTGTAAAACAATCAACTACTACTTTAATACAAAATAATCGAATATCATACCAAATCAAAATTTTATTTACTTATTACAAAAATATCAAATTAAATCTAAAATTTCGACTATCAGCTACCAAATGACCTAACCTGAAATTTGAAAATTCTGAACAAATAATGTCAGTTGATCCATCATCCAAGGATGTTGCAAAACAAATCAAATTACAAAACTTTTTCATCCTTAACTAAGAGGTCTCATGTTAGGTCAAAATGTACTACGTGATTTTGTAGCTATTGAGCAAAAATCGTCTTCTATAGCCTAGTTAAAGAACATTTTACCTCCTAATATAAGATTTTTCAACACGAATTCAAATTAATCGAATTTTATGATTCTTTATTAAGGAAGATATATGATACAAGCATTAATTATAAACTAGGATTTGATTTGAATGAAGAAAAGTAACTTAACAGTTTTTTTTTTATAAATAAAGATCAAATATTTTAAAACAAATTTACTATGCTAAAACCACAAATATCACATGAGAAGATATAATTTTACACGAAAGAGTCTTCAATACTTATTGTGAAAGGGACAAATAGATATATTACTCCCAACCTTCTACTTTACTTATCCAGTATATTAATGATAATTTATCATTTTATTTAATAACCCTACAAATTAAGATGATTAAAATTTTAAAAGTAAAAATGAATAATTAGCAAAACAATTAATTAATTAGTGCTTGTAAAATGCATATTGTATATGTAAAATTGTAAGGAGGGAGTTCCCTCAATTGATTTAGACTAATCGTTTATTATTTTCTCCATTTTCTTTTATTAATAACTCATCTATTAAAAATATAATTTTTTATTAAAATATATTAATTAATTATTTTTTATACTTAAACAGATATAAAACTGAGAAAATAGTAATTAATTTGTCGTCGTGTTTGACCACTAACCACATATTCTGGTCAACTTTTAATACACAGATTAGTTCACATGGTGGAATACAAAATATCAATTTCCCATGCCTTATCTCTACATTTTCGTCGTCGTATTCATACACACAAATAAAATATTAAATATGAATCGTAATAATATCTTTTAGCATAATTTTATGAGTGGATTTTTAAAAAAGATACTCCCTCAGTTCTTATTTAGTTGTTCAATTTAAAAATGACATATATATTAAGATAACAGTAATTAGCATAGTAAAGTTATAATTTTATCGTTATTAATTATGATTTTAAAACAGATGATTACAACTTATAAATTTTCAAGAAGGTTAAATGAGGATATAATAGAAATTTTTTTTGTCCTTTCTTGATTTGTCAAAGTGGACAATTAAATAGGGATAACTAAAACATGAAATATGAACAAGTAAATAGGGACAGAAGGAGTAGTGTATATGTAACCATTGAAAGTTAATTTGATTAGTTTTTATATTTAATTTTTTTTTGATATTTTGAAATTAAAATTCACAAATCTAAAAATTATATGAAAAGTATTATGCATTAAAATTTATCAGTTTCATGTGATTGTCATACTACCTATGTCCCTATTTAGTTGTCCATTTTAGAAACGACACACATATTAATATAACAATAATTAACACAGTGAAGTTATAAATTTACCCTTATTAATTATGGTTTAAAAAATGATGAATTAAAAATTAAAAATTTTCAAGAAGTTTAAATGAGGGTATAATAGAATTTTTTTTTGTACTTTCTTAATTTGTCAAAATGGACAAGTAAATAGGCACAATTAAAAGAAGAAATATGAACAAGTAAATAAAATGGAGCATATCGTAAAATATTAATAAAAATTATACTTTTTGACTCAAAAAAATTATAACAATTAAAAAAATATATATTAATCTAAAGATATACTATAGGAGGTGGGTGGAAGGTAGCGGTGTGGGATGATGGGTGGGGCGATGGAGTGAGTAGAACACAACTAATATGAAATACACTTATGAAATTTAATTTTTTCTGTTTTAGTTATAAAATCTTTTTTTTTCAATTCAAAAGAGATTATTTTTATATTAAAAATATTAT